TTGGGTAGATCGGCAAAGGTCTTGAATTTTCTTCATTTGAAGATGATCTTTCTCAGTGGGGAATGATGGACTTCATATTGTTTAGAAATGGCTTTGTAACTCTTCCCAGTCTGATGAAACTGTCGAAGAAAAGTTTAGAAATTGTCAAAGAAAACTCTTCACTCAGGTTAGGTGTGGTCAAGCAGAGTGCTTTATTCATGCGCATGGGGAGGATATAATCATGCAGACCTGAGAGCAGCCTCTTGTACAGATCTGTGAGTAACCTCTCCAACGAGATGGTAAATGCAATGAGTTTTATACAGCAAATTCACATGGGAAAGCTCCTTCTAAGTTTCCATATTAGGAGTTGTTTTTCTCTAATTGACCACATTCATGTTAAGACAGTTTTACCTTGCATACAGACAAAAGGACGTATATAAATAAAAGGTGTGAAATGAGCTAGACATTCTGCTCTTGTAGCATTAATATCAAAAAGTCAAATAATATGCTTGCAATTGTTCTTTCATACTGTTGCTGGGTAAAAGATTTGTTTCAAAGCCAACTTGTCATTATCTTATACACTTTAAAAAAGGTAAATACTAAAATTCTTCATCAAAACAAATAGTGGAAAAGTAGAATTTTGGTGTTATTTGTCAAAGGAAATGAGTTATTTTTATTTAGTACTTGGAGATGACTAGATGAAGGTCAATATGTCTGTGTTAAAAAAATCTGGAGGGTGTACTTAGTTTTTCACCACATTGTATATGAATGGTTCAGATCTGTTCTGGATGTGCAGAATATGCTGTATAATATATTAATCAATATGAAACTCTTGCTAGCATACATGATGAAATGACAACCCTCTTTGTCCATGAATATTTGAATTCTGTGTATCTTTTTTTACGTAAAGGTCAGATGGTGTCCTAAAACCATGATGTATTTAGAAACTAGAAAAATCAAATATACAGTTTGATTCTCTATATAAGATGTCTCTTTTGCAGGAAATAGTCAGCATTCTGTTATTCAGGCAACAGTCAGCACTGCTCAGGATTCAGCCCCAGTAACTGTGTTTCAGCCAGCTAGTCCAGTTCAGGTGATCCTTCCAACTGCCTGCCTCCCGTCTTGCCAACCAGTGCCAGCCTCATCTACTGTCCTGCCAGTAAAGACTGAAGCCAGCCGTAGTGTAGCCATGCCAGCTCCCCTGCGCAGCCTGCCTGAGCTCAAGTTTCCTCTTGTGCCTGGGGATATTGTGCGTGAAAGCCCCGAGACAAAACGCAGCACCCAACCTCAGTGCAGCGCTGCTCCTGAGCTGCCCAAATCCAAAGAGATCCCCCATGCCAACATGCCAGTCTGCTCCAGAGACTCCCAGCTAGGCGTTCCAGTCCTCCACCACCCTCCCATCTTCCCCCCTCGCCCCCTGGCACACCCAGCCGCTCTCTTTCCTGCCCCGCCATTCCCCTACCCTCCTCCATTCTTTCTACCAGGACCACACTTCTTCGCACCCAGGTCAGCACCCATTGGCATTCCTGCTGTACGTAATGCTAGAAATCCTATTGGAATCAGTGGTAACTCGTAAGGTGTAGCATTAACAAATTGAAGACGGGCCCTGTTGAAGAGTAATCAAAGATGAGGCTCCTTGCCATTTTGCTCATTTGCAATCCATGTGGTCTTTGTGGCAATCTTAAAAACACACCCGTCACAGGTCATAGCCTGTCATTGTCACTTCTGTTAATGAAGGCCTCATTCCTGTCCTCCTTTATGCTTGTATAAGAGAAATACAGGTTCAGTGAAATACCTGTTGTGAAGAACAAAGAAACTAACCTGCAAAAACGCACTGTTAAATTGATTGAAACAATATTTTCCGGACAACACCAAGCACAATATTGGGGAAAAAAATATGACAATCGAAAAGGATAACAAGATTCATTGCAAAGTGAGATTTCCACATTTTGTTAGCCAACATTTAAAAAGGTTTAGTGCGGAGAATAATTGGAAATCCCTTAAATTACTGTGTGTTTCACATTACGAGCCACCGCTGTTTAAAATGCAGTCCTAGGTATGTGCTGTACCAAATCTCTTTGGCACTCCTTTCTAGTATCTCATTTATTTTTATTTTCAACATAATTGGGAAAAGAAATGTTTTAAGTGATACTTTTAAAGTATCAGCTCTTTAGTAGTGTTTATAGTGTATATACATTAAGAGATTGGCAAAAACATCAGCGTATCATGTTAAGTTCTCACAGAATTAATTTTTTAAAAACCAAAACAAAGAGCAACTTTGAAGATTTTTGAAGTAAATTTATAAATGTAATCAATGTTATTAAAGGGTGGTGTTCTACGGCTTTCATTGACAATGGTATTGGGCATTTTAAATGCTTTATGGTGCTCGCAATAATGCGCTTTCTTATAACAAAATGGCACTTTATTTTCCAGCCCTTGTCCTTACAACCGCACTCCATTCAACTACACTGAGTACCCCAACCCCATGGCAGACTTTTTCGGCTACTATGAGGAGCACTATCAGAAGCACGAGGCCATGTTTTCTGCTTTGAACCGTGACTATCCCTTCAGAGCTGGCGTGGAGGCCGGAGGGCCCAGGGCAGGCCCCCGGCCTGGACAGGCCTGTCCCTCCAGCCACAGCTCGGAGGAGTACCTCGGCCTGGGGCCGGCGCTGGACATCGGCGTCTTCAGCGCCCCCCTGCCACAGCCCCCCCGCCTGCAGAGAGTCAATGTCACGGACTCGGACGACGAAGAGGAGGAGGGCGAGGAGCGAGTGCTGAGGGTTTTATAACTGGACTGTAGAGGACCGTTTCACAGCAAGGCTGTGGGCTGGATAACATACTGGAATAGAAACACTTCAAATTTTCCCATTTTATATTGCATGTTGCTCATGGTCTGAATCATAGTTTTTTTTTTTAAGAAAAAGAGCAGCATGATTCTTTTAACTGTCATTTCTGTTTTAGGATTGTCTTGTAATCTGAGACTCCAAAGATTTTGTTCTCATGCTTACCCAGCTGTAATGGAATACTTCCATGTATGTTCCGGTCACATTACTAGAGATAATATACTGTGTATAAAATCAATGTGGGTGTTTTGAAAGGAATTTACTTCAATTGCTCCATGTCAAAAGTATGCCCCATTTCACTCTCCAATAAATTTGCTATTGAGAAGCTTTTGAGAGTGTTCTATAGTGTTCTGTTATTATGAAATGTTTTGATCACCTCTAAACAAATGCAAAATAGAAGGTGATAGTAGTGAAGTAATGGGTTGAATATGTCACATGGGGATTTTTTTCTAGTTGACATTTCTTCCTCAACTGAAATGTGTTTCCTTGTTCTGTTGTCTTGCCTGGTGCACACAGGCTATATCGGAGCTTCCCATCGTTCTGTTCTGCTTTACAGTGAAACAAAAATGTTTCACGTCAATATGTTCAAACACGGCTAATCTACTATCCACTTTTAATATGAGGTATTCTAAAGGCGCTTCATTCTGTGAAAACCCGTATATTTTCACATTCGTTTAAGTTCTATGCGCGGGGTGGTAAATCATGTTTTGGACAAAAAACGTAACATCCAGAAAAGCCCTAGCCCTGCCCTCTTTTTAATTGACTTACTAAATGGATTCAAGATTCATTTTGAGCAATACTGTTGTTGTTTTTTTAAACTACCTCTTTTATCATTTTTCTTAAGAATCAAGACGAAAGTGTCACCATTTATGATACATCACCCGACCCTCCCTTAACGACAACAACAAAAAATGGTTTTGGACCACAATTGTGGCGCCTGCCAGTCCGTCCTCGGGGCTCTCCTCTTCGGCCCAACGAGAGCTCCCTAGAACTGCGGCCAGCATCCTTGGCGCTTCCCAGACTGGCAAGGGGGAGGAGCCGGCGTGCACATAACCGCGATGCGAAGAGTGCACAGTCGGAATCTTACGCTGATAGCTCCTTGCGAGCTGTATCGCGTTACCACAAACCAACACAAAAGCGAGAACGCGGTATTGACCGAGGAGCTTGTATTTTTACCCCGTTTTTTTTCCCCAATGCATCACTCTGTGAATCCAAGCTCCAGGCTTGGCGTTGCCGGCGCATTACAACACTTTTTTTATCTGTATGTATTTTATATCAGACTTCTAAAATGTGCTGTGCATGGACATGCAGCGTTTGGAGGTGAGTCGGATCTTCTATAGAATATATTGTTCATTGGCACGCAAATATGTTTTTTTTTTCATTTGAGGTGCAGGACTTCGACGTAAATGGCTTTGCATTTAAATATATTAATGCATTTTATGGTGACTGCAAAAGAAACGTCTCGTTGGAAAAAAATGGTGTTGGAGTTATTTTATTAACGTGCAGATTTTATTAGGAAATGCATATTCACTAGTGTATTGGACAGTTTTTGCATGTGTATGTGCATTGCTTGAAATCAAATGCAATAATTTGCTAGAAATCAAAATGAAATGCAGCGCAAAATAACACTGGGATTTGTTCATTCAAAATAAGTTAATTGAAGTAAAAATCTCTATCCGTACTATTGAAATAGTTACACCGTATTTTCTGCCAGAATACGTTTCTGTGAATGTAAGCGGAATATCGACTTCAATTTTTAATTGTTCATTTTGGGCTTTTTTCTGGATCTTTCATCTTAAGCACTTCAGACATTACATTTCAAGAATTGAGAAGCCGGTTTTGCGTTACCCGGTGCTTTGACAACGCGGTGACCAATATTCCATCGATCGCTTTTCATAATTCTTACAGAAACCCAGTGGCCGGACCACAAAGCGCACAGACTTGACCACGTAGCTCAATATGAAATTATAATTCCCCAGTGGATGAGCCCTGCTCGTCAGAAGAGGTCACCTTCCAGCAATAAGGTCAGTTCATTTCAGACCTCGCTTCTTTCAAAATCCCTTAATTGAAACCTGTCGCATCGTGTAGTTTAGATAAGCTACATTTCGGTAATGCATTTCAGTGCTTAATTATTACGTACCTTGGCAAGTTTGGCACTCCAGTGCGGCTCTCTATTGAGGGAAGGTAAATATTTTACAGGGAAGATGTTGACATGAAAGGTACAACAGCCCTTCAGACACCCATTCTTTTATCTGTCCGGTTTTTGCTTTCAGTGCCTCTTCTCACTTGGTTTTCCCTTTTCATGCCTTAAATCAGCCTCCTCCGGACGCGGAAATCAAGATAACAGCAGAGGGGAAAGAGCTGGTTTTACGCCTAGAAAGAAACGAGTAAGTACAGAATTCATCCACAGAAACACTCACTGGATCCTGTTCCCCGTAGCCTCACTTTCTCCCAGGCCTGACATTTCCCCGAGAGGCATTAAAGTTGCAGGTGTAAGTGTTGGTACTGTATTTTTATTTGTGTTAACGTACTCCGACGTCGTAAGCACCACTTGATCGCTTGCTAGGAAGAATGTAAGACTCATAAACCTAAACCGGGTGTGTTTGACAGACAGGAGTAGTTAAAATGTCTTAAGTAGTACAGTACTAGTAGGAAAACTGTCAGACTGGGGGTAAAGCAGAGCCGATGCCTCATCTTAACCACGTCTGCTGCTGAGCAGCACCTTGAGGCAGTTGGTGTTCTGATACAAAGTGTGTGATGTGCACCTGATAAAAATAAGGATCACTTCCCCTTTTGTAATTCTAAGTATTTCAGAAGTTTAAAAACTTTAGCTCTTGCAAGCTTGCTACATTTACTCAGCCCTTCTGTGTGTAGATTTCTGGTGTTATGCTGTAAAAAAAAAAAAAAAAAGTTGGTGCTTATTAGCTGCCAGCATCTGAAAGATCAGATTAGTTGTTGAACTATTTCCTTGCTCTAGGACTTTTTATGTTGATCTTGTCTGCTCCCCAAGGTGTGACAGATCACTGCCTCTCCAGCCTGAAGCTATATAGCCCTGCTAGCCCTAACCCAGCATGAAGTGCAGTGAGCTGTGCAGCCCTCTGATTGATTCAGTTAGTAGTCTGTGACTTGCTGTCTTTAAACATCAGTTTCTCCCCTAAAGGTGGGGTAGAGCTGATCAAAACTGTAATTCTTTCCCTGATGCCTGAGATTGAAGTCATCTGACTACTTCTCGGTCTACTGCTTGTGAACAACATCATGAACCCATTTTAAAAGCAATCACTTCAACCCAAGGGAAAGGCTCTGAAGAGGCAACCTGTAGCTGTATTTTGAGGGGTGGTATGGTGTATCAAAGTGGGGAGAGCTTGGCATTTTAAAACAGTCTTCTGTCAGTCCATTTTAAAAAAGTATTCTGTCATCTCTGTCAATATTCGATGCAATCTATTGCATTTCATGCACCCTTCTAGGAATATCACAATTTCTGTTAACGCACAGATCTCACTTTTAGGTCCTCTAGCATGAAGAAAGCTTCTGTGACAATTAGACACAGCAGACCAGGTAGTGACTGGGAAACTGCAGTTCTGAGTTTCCTGTTTCCTCAACATCCTATCGTTCTGTAATCCATCCTGTCCTGCCTGGGGAAACTTGAGACCCACAGCAGAGAAGCCTTTCTCACAGGTCAAAGAGCAGGCTTTCCTGTGTGTCAGAGCAATCAAGCCATTCCTCCATCCCTTTTCTAAACATTTCAACCAGTATCGAGTCCCAGGGGAGAGCCTCCAGTTCATCACAGGGCACACACAGAAGCCAGTTAACCTGCCAGCAGGTCTTTTCACTGGGAAGCACTCTGAGAAAACCCATGTGAACACAGGGAGAACATGCAAACTCCACACAGATAGCACCCCAGGTCTGGAATTGAACCTAGGGCCCCAGCATTGAAAGGCAGCAATGTTAACCACTGTCCCAATGTGTCGTCCAGCACAGTCAAGCTGTTTGCAGTGCTGTTTCATTTCCGTGTTGTTTTCAACTTGCCATCTTTTCCTGAGCTCATTTCCTGAAGCTCTTACTGCTTTTTGGAGTTTAGGTTGCAGAGGCATATTATCAGCGAGTTGGATATATGTTTCTTTTCTCTTTTCAATCATTCTACATGCCTAAATGAGTCAGAAACGAATAGACACGTGCTTTGTTATGGCCTGGTATCATATGGAGGAGCTCCTGAAGTTTACCAGAGAGTCCCACCAGATCAGAACCTCCCAGCTGGAGGCTGGCGTCTCTGTGGGGAATGAAATCAGCCACCTGGGCCAGGATTGGTCCCATGGGTTCAAGCACAGGCCTGTAAAAGAATCTGTAGTGTCATGGCCATGAAGCTACAGTATCACACCATTGACAAAACAGCGATGATGCCACTTTATTTTTAGAATTGCTAATTCTGTAGCTGGGTATTGCCAGTGAGCATCTTTGTCTACTATTAGTCAAATTTGCCAATACTTTTAGGGAACTTTTGAATAGGGTTATTCATTCCCCCAGAACAATTCAGACTTATCTCCTTTTGTTTCATCAGATGGTAGCGGTAATTGAAAAGTACGGTGCAAAACTGTGTCACATGTCACAGGAGTGGTATATATACTGATGGAAAAAAGAAATGCAACACCTCCTCCTCCACACTCTGGCCCTCTGGTCTGCGTGGAACAGGCTGAAGAGTGACACATCCGTGAAGCGGACCTGATGTCACTGCTGACGAGTCCATCGCAGCCTCTGTCTGGCCCAAGCCAGTCGGGTGTGAAGTCTAGGAGGTGTGAGGAGACCTCTGACAGGTCGCCTTGCTGTAAGGCCAGCAGCACGGAGCCTCACTGTCCTGTCACTGATGCGGGCATTGTGTCTGCCAGCAGTTTCAGCAGCAGTAAGGGTCGAGTGGCAGATCTGAAATGATCTCTCAGATGGACCAGTCTGATGTGTCGGTCCTGCTCTGGTGTGGTCACTCGACGGTGACCGGATCTTGGACGGTCATCTGTCCTACTGGTCTGCTGAAACCTTCTCTGCAGTCGGGACACAGTGGAGTGGCTTACTCCATAGTGTCTGGCAGCGCTGGCACATGACATGCCTGCCTGCAGCGTGCCAATGGCCCTCTCCCTTGCTTCTGGTGACATTCGAGGCATTATGGAATGCACAGAAAACTGACTAAGTGTGGCCTGTTTCCTGCACTGACCTAAGCTTTGAATTAAGGCCTTTTTAAAGGCATTGTTCCACCTGGACCTCGTTGGGTAAAAGTGCACCTAACAAGCTTTCGAGTGATTGGCAAGTTGCAATGCCTCACTGCACAAGCTGTATTGCTGGTCAGAGGGCTTAAAACAAATTGACAACTTTTTTTTGAAAGTACATCAGCTGTAACTATAGTGCTCTCATTCCAGAAAATGTTGCATTTCTTTTTTTCATTAGTATATCATGGCACTGTGTATTAGTGCCTGGAGCATTGCTGCCTTGTAGCCTGGTTTCATCAGATCCCAGAAGATGACCAGGGCAGGGTGTTGTAGAAGGTGCTGCTTTTCAGGTGAGACATAAAACAAAGCTCCTGACTAGGTGGTTATTAAAGATGTGGGCAGGAGATCCAGGTGTATAATTGAGGTGTCCTGTCTGGACACCATTTTGAATTTCCACACCCTGGCCTCACCAGAAACAAGACCCTCCTTCATAAAGCTTCCCCTTAATTTTCTTCTTCCTCAAAGCAGTTTCTGCTGTGCAGGGGGGCTCCTGGTGCAGAATGACAGTTGGGTGAATTGGAAGTAAAGTTCTCTTCTAATTGAATTAATGCTCAGATTTTCTCATTTTCTGTTTGTTTGTT